GTGGTGCGGAGTTAACAGGGGTTAATTTCTAAAACGAATTAAATAAAAATGGAAAGCGGTTCGGACCTTATGATCATGGAATATGGTGCCTAATAATGACTTAATTATCCACGAGAAAGAATTGATTATGAGATTATTATTTAAGATACTATTGGATACGTGAGGGCACTCCGAATAGAATTGCTCGCCTAGTGCGGGTTTTGACAAAGCGGGTAATTACTCCTACCCTTTTTAACTGCGGCAGTGAAATCCCGGCCGAAGGCCGGGTTACACTAGTATGGGAACTAGAACGAACACCGATGGGACATTAAGACAACAATAAGACAACATTAAGACACCAATAAGACACCAATAAGACAATATTAACGCAACAAACACCATTAAGACAACAAACGATAAGACAACATTAAGACAACATTAAGGCATCATTAAGGCAACATTAAAACAACAAATTCGTTTAAGACAACAAACAACGGGTTAAAGTATATTACATATTCTAAACATTTTGTTGCATTAATGTAGTCTTAAACGAGTTTGTTGTCTTAATGTTGTTTTAAACAAATTCATTTAAATGAATTTGTTGTCTTAATGTTGTTTTAAATGAGTTTGTTGTCTTAATGTTGTCTTAATGTTGTCTTAAATGTTGTCTTAATGTTGTCTTAATTTTGTCTTAATATTTTATCATATTTTGTTGTCTTATCGGTGTTTGTTGTCTTATTGTTGTCTTAATGTTTTCTTATTGTTGCCTTAATGTTGTCTTATCGTTTGTTGTCTTATTGATGTTTGTTGCGTTAACGTTGTCTTAATGTTGTCTTAATGTTTTCTTAATGTTGTCTTATTGTTGTCTTATTGTTGTCTTATTGTTGTCTTAATGTTGTCTTATTGTTGTCTTATTGTTGTCTTATTGTTGTCTTATTGTTGTCTTAATGTTGTCTTATTGTTGTCTTAATGTTGTCTTAATGTTGTCTTAATGTTGTCTTAATGTTGTCTTAATGTTGTCTTAATATTTTATCATATTTTGTTGTCTTATCGGTGTTCGTTCAAGTGTTCATAATACATCCTAGTGAAAAATAGACATGTTAATTATTTTACTGGTTGCCGAACGAACTGATGGTCTGCATAATAAGTATACAACATATTTGGACACGTTCATTGAAGTTTGAGGATATTGGTAAATATTAGTGACCCTACTGAATGGCACGATGATGTAAAATGTGTCACACTATGAAACTATATAAACCCTCTAACCCTAAGATAATCGTTTCATCCTCTAGATAAAGTTTGTCGCATAACGATATCTTTATCAGACGATAAGATATCGCTAAAATGCGGCCGGCAGTGAGTTGTAAACTTTGTCACACTATAAAAACGTGACGGAGTTTATATGGACCCCTTGTTGCCGTGTTTGACCAAATTTTCGAATTTCCAATTCATAGAATGGCTGTATATGACTATTATCTACATATTTAGCGACTTTTTTTCTTAAATGGTAGCACCATGTAAACTCCGTCACACATTTAAGAAATTTATATGAGGGATGTTTATGACATCCTGACAAGAAATGCCGAATAGTCTAACATTATTTTGTGAGCTGAATGTGTTTGGAATTGTTCACATATTTCATTGTTATAGGCAAATACAAATACAGAAGGCAGAAATAGGTAAATTTAGTCACATAAATTTGTATGATATCTCAACATGTGTGAAATTGAGTAAATATTAGTATACCAACTTAAACACCCTATATTACGTACTATGGATCAATTAACAATATTTCAACCATACGCCGGTCATATAAATTATTATATGGCAGTGATATGTTAACATTGGATAAATTTCAACACCTAAACAGGGTAAAAATTTGTAAATTTTGTCACAAAAAAAATATTATCACTTTATTTGCTCCGTGTTGGCAAAATAACTAATTTATCGACATATTGATGGTGATAAAGTAACAGTATATACTAATTGATTCTTCAAAATAGGGGCAAGAAATGTAAATTTCGTCACATCAGCCATTGCATTAGTTAGATATATTTTCTTTCATATCAAATGCCCTTATTATAGTCGGAATGGATTTATACAGGAAATATAGAAACCCATGCCCATTTTTCATCACATTGAAATTATACTGTTGGGGCAGGAAAAGTAAATTTCGTCACATTTCGGTAAATTAGTGATATCAAACTCAGCATTGTTAAACTTGGGTTCTGATTTTCTGAAAAATAACCTACCAATAATTCCTGGAAGAATATCGAATTCTAATCGGGGTATGGTTCTTCAAAATAGGGTCAAGAAATGTAAATTTCGTAACATACGTCATTGTAAAATGTAGATACATTTTCTTTCACATCAACAGTCCTAATTATAGTTCGAAATGATTAATTCAGAGATAAAGGAAATATAGAAACCCATGCCCATTTTTCATCACATTGAAATTATACTTTTGGGGCAGGAAAAGTGAATTTCGTCACATTTCGGTAACTTAGTATAATCAAACTCAGAATTGTCAAACTTGAGTTCTGATGATCTGCTGAATAATAACCTACTAATAATTCCTGGAAGAATATTGAATTCTAATCGGGGTATGGTTCTTCAAAATAGGGTCAAGAAATGTAAATTTTGACACATACGTCACTGTAAAATTTAGATATACACTTTCTTTCACATCAACAGTCCTAATTATAGTTTGAAATGATTAATTCAGAGATAAGGAAATATAGAAACCCATGCCCATCTTTCATCACATTGAAATTATACTATTGGGGCAGGAAAAGTGAATTTCGTCACATTTCGGTAACTTAGTAAAATTAAACTCAGAATTGTTAAACTCGAGTTCTGATTTGCTGAATAATAACCTACTGATAATTCCTGGAAGAATATTGAATTCTAATCGAGGCATGTTTCTTCAAAATAGGGTCAAAATTTCGTCACATCAGCCATTGCATTAGTTAGATAGATTTTCTTTCATATCAACTGCCCTTATTATTATTGTGACAATTTTTACATCAACTGCCCTTAACTTGAATCAGCTCTATCCGTGCATCGTCCTTATATACAGTTTTCCCGCCTTCCAAACCAAAATCAGATATAAATGATTTCGGCAATTCACCCAAAATTTTAAATTCCATATAATGTGACAGAATTTACATCATTTCCCAATAAGTGCATGTATTTGCTAACTTTTCAAAACAACATATTTTAGGGCTATGATTGGTAGAAAACCATCAAATAATGAGTTGAAAGGGTTTTGAGGACACCTCACAGTAGAAAAGAGGTATCGTATTCTGAGTGTGACAAAGTTTACGAAATATTGCCTTAAAACCGTTCGATACCTGCCCTTTAGCCAAATGTTGTATCATAATTGTTAGAATGACCTAATCTACTATATTATTTTAAACAAAAAATGCTTATTGGGCAACTATGGTTAACACAGTCACAAAAATGTGACATTTTTTACATTATAGTGCCTAAAAACAATAAATTGTATTTCTGAGCCGTGTATATTGAAGTATGGTTCACGTGGCTAATGTCCAGAACTTCTGAACACGCTATTTTTTGGTTTACCAATATCCTTAAACTTCAACATGAACGTGTCCATTTACGATTTCGTATCATTTTGTGACGATGTTTACATCAACTGCCCTATACTTCAATCAACTGTATCCGTGTATCGTCCTCATATATAGTTTTCCCGCCTTCCAAACCAAAATCAGATATAAATGATTTCGGAAATTCACCCAGAATTTCAAATTCCATATAATGTGACAGAATTTACATCATTTCCCAATAGCCAAGCGCATGTATTTGTTAACTTTTCAAAACAACATATTTTAGGGCTATGATTGGCAGAAGAACTATCAAATAATGAGTTGAAAGGGTTTTGAGGACACTTCACAGTAGAAAATAGGTCTCGTATTCTGAGTGTGACAAAGTTTACGAAATGTTGCCTTAAAGCCGTTCGATCACTGCCCTTTAGGCCTACATTGTATCATAATTGTTAGATTGACCTAATCTACTATATTTTAGACCAAAAAATGCTAATTGGGCAGCTATGGTAAACAATGTCACAAAAATGTGACATTTTTTACATAATAGTGCCTAAAAGCAATACATTTTATTTTTGAGCAGTGCATATGGGAGTATGGGTCACGTGGCTAATGTTCAGAACTTATGAACACGCTAGATTAATATATGTTAAAATTAAACCACTATCGTCAAAAACGCTTTTTTAGAAATTTACCAATTTCCTCAAACTTCAATGAACGTGTCCATTTACACTTGTAAATAACAAAGATTTGCAATATACATAATATCATTTGGCACTTAATTGTTGATGGCAAGTTCTCCAAATTTTATGAACAGCAACGACTCATGCCGACGTTCAAATTCTTAAGTATAATATTGGCGATGCTGATAATGATTCCATCTGAAGCTTGAAATATTACTGATCAAAAGAATGGTGACAATTTTAAGCAGAATTTTGAGAAGCACCTCTGTCAGCTACTGAACAATAATCCAGTGGCGTAACGAAGGGCCCCGCTGACCCTGCTGTGCGGGGGGGGGGGGGCGACATTGAATGTGGGACAATTTTGAAAAACTTAACTGAGGTACTAGCAAAACTGCGCGTTTTGCTCTAGAAACACATTTTTAGAGATTTTACCGGCGTATCATCTAAAATCATCTAATTTGTTCAATTTTAGAGAGGGGCGCCAACAGAGGGGCGCCAGTAGGCAACGTTACGCCACTGCAATAATCAGTCTCTTGATCGATTTCCTTTCGAAATCATGGATCAATCACATCACTAATAGAATAGTATCACTAATACAATAGTACACTAATGTAATAGAATTCAGAGAAGTTGGTTGAAGTGAAGTCTGTGCAAGCTGATTTGACTTACAGCGAAAGCACGAACACTTACTATTACAGGAAAATGTTTTACACAGTAAGACATTGGCAGAAAAGTTACCCACCTTATGATATAAGTTGTATTGTTTCAGGATTTTGTAGAACGTGGGGGTCGACCAGAACGGCTTGTAGAGTTTGACGATGATATGTGGAACTTAATGTCACGGTGCTGGCACGTGGATCCATCTCAAAGACCTCTCTTTGGGGATATCTCCCTCGAGATAAAACACATCATGGCGCTCACCTTCAATATTGAGGAGTCATTCGAGATCATCTCATCCAATATCTTGTCCTTGTGACGAAAATTTTTTTTTTCTAGAACATTCTATAGACATTTTCATGTTTTTAAATTGGCTGATCCGTTTTTTTAATGACGATGAACGGGGTTTCGGTATTAAGAGCAGATTGGAATTTTTACCAACAGTTTTATTTACACCAGGAAATATGTTTTGAATATGAGAGCTTTTATCCATACTGTTTATTTGAGTGGCCCTGGTGGCCGTGTACCAGTGACATATTATTATACATAACAGATACTTGGACAGTAACAATCAAGTTTACGATTTGATCAAAATGTATAATACGAATTTAATTTCAAATATGGGCGAGATTTTTGTGACTGTCTAAAAATTGATTTGTACAATCTACTGTACAAGTGAATCAAATTTTAATCTTAAGTAGCTTAAGTCTTGACTATTGTGGCGTTAGATCATAGATCATAGATGTGGAAAACTTGCATGCTTTAGGTTTACGACTGAGCGATCCGCCGCAAGGTTTCTGTGTTCGTTTTTAATCTATCATGTTTGATTTTTTGTAATCCTGGTGTCCGATTCAGACTAAGTTTTCTTTTTCTTTTACAAATCAGAATTATGCCGAAACTATATATGGGAACTAGATCCCTCCTTGAAACAACGGAAAATTCTTGGAAAAATCCAAAAGTGCGTCTCGTGCACCTTACTAGTACCACAATTCTACACTGAATTGTAAACAAAGCACTTTTGCGCCCGACCTGCGCCGAACTGGTTGATTAAATGTAATTTTCGAAATAAAATTTGTATTGAAAATAAATGATGGTATAAAACGTTTTATTTTGATTTTGTAATCGATGTGTTATTTTGTCTTTTCCCCAGTGGTACAACTACAGTCGTTACTGGCAGCGCATTTGCTCACAACAGACACTGTTCTTACATGGGTACCCAAGCTTAGTGTTCATAAAACACAGATTGTGCTGAGTGCGGCCGAGTACTGTGTTCCTGCCACTTAACTGCTTAACACCTGCCCAACTAAAGGGGCTCTTCAGGGTGTCTGGACAGAGAGGGTTATGTGAGACATTAGTCGCGATTAGATTTTGACCGTTCTGTGCATTTTCATGCGATTGAGACCGGGACCATTTTGCGCAGTGATCAGAGTGTACAAGTTTGAGAGAAGCTCGGTGTACACTGACTTACATTACTTGTCGGTTTACTAAGAGATTCATGCAAATCGAGCATGTTCAAAAGGTGTAGGATAAAATGGCGGTCAAAATGGCGGTCAAAATGGCGGTCAAAATGGCCGTAACGATTTTTTGATAGACCCTAAAATGACTCGTCCAGATCCAGTTAAATCCTTAAATTTGAAATAACTCAATAGCTGAAATTTACTGATGACACTTTGTATGCTTGACCCCCAGTCCGCCACCTCCTTCTCAGTCCTCCTCCTCAGTCCTCCATCTCCTCTTCATCCTCCTCCTCCTCCTCCTCAGTCCTCCTCTTCATCCTCCTCCTCATCCTCCTCAGTCTTCATCCTCCTCCTCAGTCCTCCTCTTCAGTCCTCCTCCTCTGTCCTCTTCAGTCCCCCTCCTCCTCCTCCTCCCCAGTCCTCCTGCACATACTCCTCAGTCACCCTCCTCCTCTACCTCTTCCTCAGTCCTTCTCCTCCTCCCCCTCAGTCATCCTCCTCCTCAGTCCTCCATCTCCTCAATCCCCCTCCTCTTCCACCTCCTCCTCAGTCCTTCTCCTCCTCCTCTTCAGTCATCCTCCTCCTAAGTCCTCCTCTTCAGTCCTCCTCCTCCTCAGTCCTCCTCCTCAGTCCCCCTCCTCCTCAGTCCTCCTTCTCAGTCCTCCTCCTCAGTCCTCCATCTCCTCTTCATCCTCCTCCTGGGGGGGTACCAATGGCATAAATGGCATAATGGAGAATTGGCCAAACAAAATTTCCATTTATGCCATGAAATTTCTATGCCATTTGATGAATTTTATGCCATTTGTCTCCATTCTATGCCATTCGAAATATTAAATTTTAAAACTTTGAACTGAGAATTTAATAACGAATAGTCTGCACCCCACTAGTACTGTCACCTTTATCTCTATTTGTTGTACTGACCCTGGTCATTAGAAACACCCCTAAAAGTTCGTTTTTTGACAAAAAATTTAAAACTTCTGTAATTTCATTTCTGTTTTAGTTACGCATTTGATTTTTGGTATGCGTATAGAAAATCGATACGGCTTTTAAAGGATGAGGGGACCTTAGAATTTACTTTCAAATATTCGCGTTTAAGTCCTGTGAAAGTGTGTAGAATCAAAAAATACGCCGGACTGTGAAATCGATAATTCGTGCAATATCACGCCGCGCTCCTATTGGCTGATAGCAATTTTGGGCTGTGACGTCAATTATGTGTAAGACCAACGTGCGTGCGCGCACACCCTTCGCTCGTGTCAACATTTTGTCCTGTTCTGTTTTACTTACGTCGTGTTACCTTTGGCGTTTGCGAGAGCGGTATCTTTGGTTGCACTGAATTAGTCTAAGTTACGAATAATTCTCTTTAATAGTTAAATGTAACTCAGAAAGGCTTTCTTGTAGTTGTAGTAGGTATTTCTATTTATAAATAGCTAAGATAAGTAGCATCCGCTAACTAAACCACAAACTGCTATTTTGTTTTGACTTGTTTGAAACCCGATATGGACACAATTAAAAATCGGCATATTTCTTTATACAAGAATAAAGGAATGTATTTTCATATGAAATGTGCGACGAACAATATAAAATCAAGTGTTGCAATCGGCAGAGCACAATCAAATCAAGTGTTGCAATTGGCAGAGCACTACATATGAAATAGAAGATATGTTGACCGACCCACTTAATATATGTTTAGCTTTTCCGAAACTTGTTCGTTTAGTGATTTAAATCCGACATATTTGCCTGACTTGCTGGGGTACATTCTGCGGATAACTCTCACCACACACTGTGGTAGTCTGAAGCGCCAGTCCGATACCCCCCTCGGTACGTGGATACATCAGGACATCGTCGCAGCAGTGACCCCCCCCCCCCCCCCCCCCCCCCCCCCCCCCCCCACCCCCCCCCCCCCCCCCCCCCCCCCCCCCCACCCCCCCCCCCCCCCCCCCCCCCCCCCCCCCCCCCCCCCCCCCCCCCCCCCCCCCCCCCCCCCCCCCCCCCCCCCCCCCCCCCCCCCCCCCCCCCCCCCCCCCCCCCCCCCCCCCCCCCCCCCCCCCCCCCCCCCCCCCCCCCCCCCCCCCCACCCCCCCCCCCCCCCCCCCCCCCCCCCCCCCCCCCCCCCCCCCCCCCCACCCCCCCCCCCCCCCCCCCCCCCCCCCACCCCCCCCCCCCCCCCCCCCCCCCCCCCCCCCCCCCCCCCCCCCCCCCCCCCCCCCCCCCCCCCCCCCCCCCCCCCCCCCCCCCCCCCCCCCCCCCCCCCCCCCCCCACCCCCCCCCCCCCCCCCCCCCCCCCCACCCCCCCCCCCCCCCCCCCCCCCCCCCCCACCCCCCCCCCCCCCCCCCCCCCCCCCCCCCCCCCCCCCCCCCCCCCCCCCCCCCCCCCCCCCCCCCCCCCACCCCCCCCCCCCCCCCCCCCCCCCCCCCCCCCCCCCACCCCCCCCCCCCCCCCCCCCCCCCCCCCCCCCCCCCCCCCCCCCCCCCCCCCCCCACCCCCCCCCCCCCCCCCCCCCCCCCCCCCCCCCCCCCCCCCCCCCCCCCCCCCCCCCCCCCCCCCCCCCCCCCCCCCCCCCCCCCCCCCCCCCCCCCCCCCCCCCCCCCCCCCCCCCCCCCCCCCCCCCCCCCCCCCCCCCCCCCCCCCCCCCCCCCCCCCCCCCCCCCCCCCCCCCCCCCCCCCCCCCCCCCCCCCCCCCCACCCCCCCCCCCCCCCCCCCCCCCCCCCCCCCCCCCCCCCCCCCCCCCCCCCCCCCCCCCCCCCCCCCACCCCCCCCCCCCCCCCCCCCCCCCCCCCCCCCCCCCCCCCCCCCCCCCCCCCCCCCCCCCCCCCCCCCCCCCCCCCCACCCCCCCCCCCCCCCCCCCCCCCCCCCCCCCCCCCCCCCCCCCCCCCCCCCCCCCCCCCCCCCCCCCCCCCCCCCCCCCCCCCCCCCCACCCCCCCCCCCCCCCCCCCCCCCCCCCCCCCCCCCCCCCCCCCCCCCCCCCCCCCCCCCCCCCCCCCCCCCCCCCCCCCCCCCCCCCCCCCCCCCCCCCCCCCCCCCCCCCCCCCCCCCCCCCCACCCCCCCCCCCCCCCCCCCCCCCCCCCCCCCCCCCCCCCCCCCCCCCCCCCCCCCCCCCCCCCCCCACCCCCCCCCCCCCCCCCCCCCCCCCCCCCCCCCCCCCCCCCCCCCCCCCCCCCCCCCCCCCCCCCCCCCCCCCCCCCCCCCCACCCCCCCCCCCCCCCCCCCCCCCCCCCCCCCCCCCCCCCCCCCCCCCCCCCCCCCCCCCCCCCCCCCCCCCCCCCCCCCCCCCCCCCCCCCCCCCCCCCCCCCCCCCCCCCCCCCCCCCCCCCCCCCCCCCCCCCACCCCCCCCCCCCCCCCCCCCCCCCCCCCCCCCCCCCCCCCCCCCCCCCCCCCCCCCCCCCCCCCCCCCCCCCCCCCCCCCCCCCCCCCCCCCCCCCCCCCCCCCCCCCCCCCCACCCCCCCCCCCCCCCCCCCCCCCCCCCCCCCCCCCCCCCCCCCCCCCCCCCCCCCCACCCCCCCCCCCCCCCCCCCCCCCCCCCCCCCCCCCCCCCCCCCCCCCCCCCCCCCCCCCCCCCCCCCCCCCCCCCCCCCCCCCCCCCCCCCCCAGTCCGTTCAGCTCCATATCCCAAAGAATGTTCGTAACAGCGAAAACCGGTATAGCTGTTCCTGTTCTCAAACATCATCCTTTTCCGGGAACTCCTTCCGAGTCACAGAAATGCGAATAGTCTAAACAGACGCGTCGCAAATTACGCTTTGAATCTATGAATGCTGTAAGCAGTTTAACTGACTCTCGTTCGTCAGTTCCCTCTCGCAAACCCCCGATTTTCGGAACCGCAAGTATTTACCGGCCTTAGTTTACACTCATGATAATTTACCGTTCTGTTGCTGTGGACTTGAGGTAAAGCGTAACGAAGTGGATGTGTTCGTCTGCTATGCTTGGTATAATATTGCTGTGGTGTAATAGTTTGCAAATCTTCTTACGTTATAAATAGGTGTCACAAGTGATTAGACTTATAACTTGGTGCTTGTGCTTGTCCAACTGGAAGGAAGAACATGCATTTCCCTACCACCCGATCCGGTTTTTATTAGGACGTGTTGTGTTTGATATGACATGTTGATAGATCAACGGGGGAACGATACAGGGAGTGCGAGGTGTCGTTTGGGAGTCTATACATATACATAATGTTACAGCCTGTTCTGTGGTGACTTCAATCTTATTTCAGGGGGCTCTCGGCTCATGGGTATCGTAGGTGGATAAATTCCTGTTTATTCACCGGTCAAAAAAGTCTCCCTCTCCAGTGGTTATAGGCTGTTAGTATTGTAAAGTGTTTATGTATTCTTAATTAGTAATTTAGTCAGCCCGCACCTCAGTTGTACCTGTAGGTTCTATATGCGCGGATCAAGCAACTCACATTAATTGACGCACAGGTTTCAAATTGTTTGGGGGCTGCTGATATCTCGGCGCGCGAATGAAATACAACTTTGGCGGATTTTCACCAAAGTGGGTTTTTACGATGAATGTAATAATATATTTGGCACGAGAAAAAAACTTTTCTAAGGTCCCCTCATCCTTTAAATGAAGATGTTCGGCGACCTCCTAGCTCACTCACAGACCAGTATGAGTGATTTAAACTCGAGGGACATATGAAAAGGCTAACAAAGATAACCGCACCACTTTCA